CCATGCAGATAGACAGACACACCCAGGAGGGTCTCCGTCTTCTGCCACCCATCCTCAGGGGTGAACCAGGCCCCGCCATGCCAAGAAATCACAGATTAAACAGAATCAACTCCATGCCAGACTGACTCTGACCCAGCATGCCTTGTCTCCCTGACACCTTGCTTTCCACTGGACTCTGGACCCACGGTGGCTCCAGCCGGGAGTCTCTGTCCTGTCCCTGAAGCGGCACCGACAGCCCCACCCATCCCCCTGCACCATTTGGCTGGCACCAAGCAAAGGGAGACGTGGGGGTGGGGATGGGCATTACAGTACCTTGGGCCAACGTTATAGGGGGCTGTATTGCATGATGGGGTGGGATGGGGTGTGTGAGTGTGTGATTATTGCGTCCTGGGAAGGAACCATGGTCCCTGCCTGCTCCCCACCCCCCCCACCTGCCCCCTCCAGGAGGGGGGGGAGCCCAGCCTAGGTCTTGTGGGTGAAGCGGGCCCACACCTGCTGCAGCTGGGACCGCGAGATGCGGAGCACCGAGGGCACGAGTCTGTGGTTGCCGGCGGCGAGGGGCGCGTGGCGCCGGTGGGGCGCCCGCACGGGGCTGCTCTCCGCCGAGCGGCTGCGCTGAATGAGGGAACCGGAGGAGCCGCCGCCGCCAGGGTGAGGGTAATGCTCGGTCTCCAGCGTGGAGGAGGAGAACACGGAGGACGCCAGTCGTCGCAGAGGGCTGTACCGCGGGAGGGAGTGCCCCGAGAGTCTGTCCTCCTCCAACTGAAAGAGACCAAGAGAGTGGAGGGAAAAGAGGCGTCAGGCACAGACTCGACAGCTCCGTCTCGGGGGCCACCCACCGCTCACAGCCCCTGCGGCGCTGGCGTCCCGGGCAGGGGGGCAGGGTCCGGCAGGTGGAGGGGTGAGCGCCGCCCCGTCCTGCCTCAGAACCCAGGCTCCGGCCGCCAGCTCCCTTCCCAGTCCTCCTCCTGTCTGGCACTCCTCACACCATGGTCTCCTTGCGGAGACCTTGGTCGCTCACCTCCCTGGGCAGCCTTCCTGCCTGAGCCCTTCCCAGCTCAGAGTTCCCTCTGGGCTGAGGAATCCTCCCCCGCGGGAAGGCCCTTCTGCAACTGCTACCTGCCATCTGCCTCCCCAGCTGTTCTCCCCACTCCTCGTTGGGGGGGGGGGGAGTACATTCCCTGCACACCCTCTGCCCCCATCACAGCAGGGTGGCAAGTGCTCCGCAGAAGGGTAGGACTCTGGAGTCCAACTACTTATGTTTGCATCCCAACTCCACCGCTTACTACCCGGGTGACCTCAAGCAAGTCACTTCTCATGCCTCAGCTTCCTCACCTGTAAAATGGGGGCAGCAGCGTTTCCCAGCTCCTAGGGTTGTTATAAGGATTAGATGTTATGATAGGCACAGCACTTAGGACTGCCATGGAGTAAATGCTCTGTCATGTGAGCTGTCTGATTATCCTTTAAGTCACTCTTGAGAGTGAGGAGAGGGATAGAGGAGTGGGAGGGGGAGGGGCAGACTGAAACCATTTCTCCAAAGTGACTTCTTCCTTGTCCTCTCCCAGCCCAGCCACAAGGCAGCCGCTGGGAGGGGCTTGGCCGCATCAGAGACATCAGGAAGAATCCCGTCTGTGCCCTCCTGCCCTCGTACCCTCAGAGGGAAAAGGGAAAGTGGGCCTGTGTGTTCCAGGCCTGTGGGGATGGAAATGGTGCCCTCTGTCCAAGAAACAGGCGAACCAACAGCCGCCCACAGCTCCTCCCACGACACATGTGCGTGGCTTGAGTTTTAACACCCCAGCCAGAGTTTGGTCAGCTTCTGGGGGGACTTAATCCCAGCACGCTCCTGCCCCTTCACTTGCCTCCCATGCCCAGCTGAAGTACCACCTTTGCGAGACCACCCAGCTTCACAGGCAGCCTCCCTATTCTAGCAAAGAAGGGTTCTCTGTTATCTACCTTACGGCCCTTGACGATAAACATCCATGTCCACGCCTTGGCATCTCCACCCCACCTCTATGAGCTCCAAAAGGGCAGCACTGCGAAGCCTTGTTCATCTTTGTGCCCCTGCCCCCAGCACACTGCCTGGCACGTGGCAGAGAAATGTTCTAGTGGCTGCCAAGCAAATGTCCACGGACTCGGAGAATGCTGACCTGCTGAGTTACCAGCCAGAGACAACCAGCAAAGGATGGCAAACATCCCTCCCCCAAATCACGCCTTCTGTCGGCTGCCTTCCCCTCTGCCTTAGCTCTCCAGCCACTTCCAATTTGCACCTTCAGTTCCTTGGGGAAGAAAGTGAGGTGTGTGTAAAGAAAAAGTTTAAAGTATCACGGCATTCACACCAAAGAACAATAGATGCTCTAAAATTGTGCCTGGTTCCACATTATCCTTGTCCCTGCTCCCCATGGGGGTGGGGGGGTGCAGATGACAGCGTTTCGAGGGCTCATATCTTTAAGGATCACGGTTATGAGGAAGTTCACACATCAGGCGCTGAGCAGAGCAAGCGAGATCTAGGAGGGGATTCCCTGCAGAAAGGTGGCAGGGTGGGGAGTCCGAAAACGGTGATGCCAAGCAGTGGCCAGGTTTGTGAGCCCCCACATCGGCCCTGATCAGGACTCCCTCCAGACCAAAGAAAGAAGGAACAAATGCACCAGTCCCTTTCTTCATCTTCCTCTGCCCTTGACAAGGAAGGTCTCCGCTGCATCTGTACTGTGCTATAACGAAAAGCTCGGTACTGTCACTCCCCGTGTGCTCACACTCGCACACGCACACACAGGCCGCCGTGCCCACTGCTGTGCCCAAGTCACACCTGCTGACATGGCCCAGCCAGGGGTGCACACACACGTGTGCATGCCCCCCCCCCCCCATGCACTGGGGCTCCCTCTGGCCTGTGTTTGCTCCTCTCCTAAACACACAGGCCTCAGGCAGCGCTCACCCAGCTCTACCTCTGGCCCGCTGGCGACCCTGGGCTCAAGGCTTAGCTCCTCCCAACCTCAGTTTCCTTACTTTTTCGGGGCGTGGGGGGGGTTGCCTTATTCAAGTTACTGTGGTAAGGAAGACACACGTGACATGTGGAGGTGCTGAGAGAGTACAGCTCTGGTCGCTATCCCTGGAATTACGGCTCTGATCCTTCGCAGCCCTCCAGCTTTGTCATCCCCATCCCCGCCTCCAAGGTTCTCTGCGCTCCCACAGACCGGCTGCACGCTGCGTAGACACGCCGCTCTGTGCGCACACCCACACCCGTGTGCACTCCTGAGCTACGCGGACACGGAAACGCACGCACACAACTTCGCTGCTATGTGCTCTGGGGAAACCAAGGCCCACCAACACCTAACACGCCCTCCAGACACATGCAACTCACCACCTGCCCACAGCGCAAGCAGGACCTGAGCCCAAGACTGAGACTGTACAAGACGCCCGTGCCCACTTGCCTGACTCTCTCTCCTTCCCCCCTTGGCTGCAAGTCCCCCCTGTAAGGACATTTCCCAGGACCCGGGAGGAATCTGAAGGTGAGGAAAACCTCCCAGATAGCTCAGCTCCGTCTCTGAGACCCAGCTGGCCTGCAGTCGCCAGCAGGGGACCAGCAGATGGCCCAGGTCCAGAGTCTCGGCCGCCTGACTTGGATTCTGGGCTGTCTCTCTACCCTACACCACCCCTGTCAGTCCCCCTCCTAGACTCTGCACTTGCTGTGGGTGCACATGACCTCTGATGCCTCTGGCACCCGGCATAGGCTAGACGCTCAGCAAGTGTGGAAGGACTAGGCACCGAACAGATGAATGAATGCAGGAAAACATGAGAGAGGAGCGAAACAGATCTTGTTCTCTCTCCAGTGCTGGCCCTGGTGGGAACAAGGACCCCAACCCAGTCATGCCGGCCCAACCCTACCCTGGCTGAGCCTCCAACTCAGGTTGGCTAGGACCTCTCTGGGTGCCATATTTCCAGAGTTCCCACTTTCTGAGCCCCCAGTTTTCCAGAATCCGTGGCACGGCTAGGATGCACACCCCTGAGGATCTCAGCTCAGAGGCCCCTCTTTTCTAGACAAGAGGATGGGGCCTAAACAGCCCTGCCTGGGGCTGCCCTTCTCCCAGGCACCCGTGGGCTCCCAGGCCAGGCCTCCCAATCTGCTCATGCAGCGGATTGATCTGACCTTGGCCCTGAACCAGAGCCACCTGGCACATGCCCCTGACGTGGGGTGATTGAGTGGGACGCGGCACAGCCCCAGAGCCCTCCAGTGTCACCTCCTTGGCTCTCCCCGGCCCATCTGAGGGTCCATGCTCCCTTCAAAACCACTCAGCGATGTCACCACTGTCCACCCAGAACTCTCAGCATCGGCCGAGAACCCCCTGTTCACAGCCCCTCAGGCCTCTTCCCCACACCTCTTGGTTCCGCCCACCCTGCCCCACATCCAGAGCCCCCGGCCTGGTCCAAGCCACCAAGGTGTTCTCCTGCTGGCGCCTGCCGTGGGGCCTTCCTGCTTATAGTTCTGGGCCCTTCCTTCCGTTTTCACCCAGCAGCCAGAGGGATCATTCAAGAGCACCGATGGGATCATGGCACACCCCTGTTTAAAAGCCTTGGGTGGCTCACCGAGCCTTCAGAATCAAACCCTAACCCTTTAGCTTCTCCCCGAGGCCCTCCGGGATAGGGCCGGGGACCTGCCTCGCAGCTTCATCTGCTCTGCAACATGCCATCAGGGCAGCGCTTTCTCACTATCGCCCCCGGGCCTTTGCACACACGGTCCCCTTGGCCCCAGAGGCCTTTCTCCTGCTTTGTCACCTGGCTGACGCTGTTCATCGTGCAAGACTCAACTCAGAACTTGGAGGACGCTTCCTCTGGGAAGCTCCGACCGTCCCCCAAGCATGGTTTTGGACCTTGAAACCTGTCTACCTTCATCACAGCCTGCAACTGTTGGGTGCTAGTCAGCAGCCCCCATGGAGCCCACGGGGAGCACTCCAGGCAAAAACTATGGGCATCCAGGGGTGGGGAGTGGGGTGCAAGCCCAGCCTTACCTGTCTCTGCGGGCCTGTGGGATCCGACTCTCTCCGTCGAGGGCGGGGTCCCGAGTGCAGGGGCGAGTGGGAAGGGCTGCCGGGCGTGGGGGGCTGTGACGTCTCTGACCGGCCTTCGGCCTGGCTCAGCGGGGGTGGTAGGGGCTGGAATGGAGTCTGCCGAGGGTCCTCCTCGGCCAGAGTCTGCATGCCTCGGCCCCGGGGCCTGACGCTAGGCTCTGTCCCCGGCCGCCGCCGCTCCTCGCCCTCCTCAGGCAGTGGCCGCAGCTCCTCAGGCTCCTCGTCCGTGGTGCCCGATGTGCTGGGCTCGGCCCCCGGGGGGAAGTCCTTGAGCTCTGTCTCCTTGTCAATGATGACCCACTCCTTGCTGTCAAAGTCCTCCTCCTCAGCCAGCGGCACGGAGCGGAAGGCGTTGCTGAGGGCCTCCTGTTCCACGGAGGCCGACACGTCCATGCGGCCGCTGGCCTGCCGGTCGGGGTGGCCCGTGTCCACTGAGAGCATCTGGGCCGGCTGCGAGGAGCAGGCCTGGCGCGAGGGGGAGCCGGGCAGATCCATTCGTGACCTGCAAAGCCACCCCGAGTGAGGTTCAGTGCCTGGCCTCTCCAAATCTCTAAGGAACTCAAGCCGGTGGCCAGGTGGGACGTGCCGCCTGGAACCCGCTGACCAGAGCATCTCTGCCACCCGGGGCCAGACCTGGTCACCTCCTGGCTTACCATCCCCTCCCCCCACCTCACTCCCCGTGGAGATCCCATCCATCCATCCATCCATCCATCCATCCATCCATCCATCCATCCATCCATTCATTCACTCAACACACGGATTTGAATGCTTACTGCGTTCCTGGAATACAAACAGGCAGAAAATAAAACCTCGTTCCTGTGCCCAAGGAGCGCTCTCTTCTGGACCACCAGGGAAACCTAATCTCCCAAAAGCCAACTCTATGCTCCCGGTCTGGTGCTCACACCCTATCAGAGGCTCCCTCCTGCTGTCGTCAGGGCAAACGCACCCACCTGGGCCTTGAGTGCGCAGATGGTTTTTCTAGCTTCTTCTACCACCACCCTCCAGGCCTGCCTGGCTGGTTTCACCACCCCCACAAACTCCAGTGGCTCCCAGCCTTGAGGACAAAGTCCATATTCCTTCGTTTGGCACTTAGTTTGGCACTCAAGTGGCCAGGCCAAGGCCCAGGTTCACCATTCTTCTAGCCAGACCCATCTCCGATTCACTAGCTTTTCCCCAAACTGCCCATGTGCTCGTACTTTGGTGCCATTTCACCTGTCACTGTCCACACACCCTTTGCTGTCCCACCTGGCATGGATGTCACCACCTGCGGGGAGCCTTTCCATCCTGCTGGGGGGTGGGAGTGCTAGCTTGCCCTCCCAGCCGTCCCAGGCAGGGACTGGGCCCCACCTGACTGTTCACGCTGGGTCAGTGATCCTACCTTGGGACATCTCTTCCACTGTTACCTTCCCCCTTCTCAACCTGGGAGGGGGCTGGGTACCAGCGCAGAGGTAAAGGTTTTGCTGGTTGTAGGAAGGGCACCCCCCACTGAGAACCGTGGAGGCTTAGCTCCCTCGGGTTGGGCACACCCTCACGCTCGGGCTGTGGGCAAGGGGCTGACTTTTATTCTCCCCAGGCCTCGAGCCTGTGAGAGAAAAGGGTGCAGCTCAGAGCCACTGTGGGGCGTTCTCAACATCCTCCCGCCCTGGTCTGTGGGACTTACCTCCTCCCTCTCCACAAGATTTTTACTGACTTAATAAGGCTTAAAATACATACATCCCTGAGGGAGGCCATCCAGGGTCTCCCATGTAAATGGCTGTTGTGGCTTCCTTTCCTGAGTGCATGGTTTGTTTTGGTGGACAGAAAAGAGAGAGGGCGCCAAAGGAGGAGAGGGGCTGAAGGTCGGGAAAGGGGGTGAAGGAAGGGGGGGGAGGTGGGCAATCCAATCCCATCTGCTTCATACCGTTCCTGCTCCTAAGAGCCCCAGAACCCACACAAACCCTCTGCCCTGCCCTACAAGATCCTGACCCTTCCCTTCCAGAAAATCTCTCCTCAGCTGTCTCCTCTTCCCATTAGCCCCGAAACAAGGGCTCACTCCGAGTCAAGCCCGTCTGCTCTCCAGGACTGTCTGTTTGGGGCATCCCCACCTCTCTTCGCTACTGATACCCCTTCCACACTACTGTTCCTCGGCTCTCCTCTCCTCAACCCTCTGGGCTGCTGTGGATGCAAGCGTGGTCTTCAGTCCCAGGGAGGCCGACCTGCGTGACTGTGAGGGCTGTCGGCAACCTGGGCACAGGGCCCGTGTCCCTCTGTCCTGGGGTTGCCTCGGGGACTGGCATAGGCCTCTCCTGTCTTGAGCGTTGCCACATTCCAAAGACACTGCATCCCATCCCAGAGGCAGGGCGCAGTTTGGAGCAGAATCCGGAGGAGGGGCCATGGGTAGGGTGGGGATGAGGAGTCACACTGCGTGGTTGGGAAGAAGCACCCCATCCACCTGAGCTGGGCCTTGAGAAAAGGCCCCTTTCCTGGTGCAGAGAAGACTGCAGCCCTGCTGTGTGGTGAAGCCCCACCCAGAGCCACTTGAGGGTGGGGACGTCTCTTAGAGGCCTCAGGTGGGGGGTTCTGACTCTGGTCCCTGATGGCCATGGGCCACCCTCACATCCCCCCATCCTGAAGGCTCATTTTGGCTCTAAACTCTCCGTCCCACCAGTCAGGTCCCCCCCATGATATTCAGATCTCTGAGGCCCTGACCCCCAAATCTTGATCCGCCCCCTTTTGTTGCTGAGCGCTCCCTGGGCTCTCCTCCGAGGCCCCTCCCCCAAAGCTGATGGGAGCTTAGTCAGCTGCTCTGAGGCATCTGTAATTAGTTTCTAGGGAGAGGTTCTGGAAGCACACCCACCTACCGGCTCACCCCTCGCCTCCTCCTGGGCCTGGGGACCCGGCCTACCCTTCCTACAGCCCACCTCCACCCCACATCCCTTCGTGGCATGAGCTAGGACCTCTGGGCCCCCCACCCCTCTCCAGGCCCTGTCACTGACTAACCAAGTCCGACCCCAGGCCCAAGGGTAGCCCCTCAACACTCCCAGGGGCCCGCCCACTTCCACCTTGCATCTGATCTCTCCTGCAGAGAAGCCGCGTGAAGGCTGAAGGGACCAGGGGTCCTTGGCCGCCCCCCGGCCCCAGACCTACCTCCTCTCGTGCAGTTCCACCCGTCCATCCGCTGTGGAAAGCCTCTCAGACTCAGGGCTGTTGACCCTCCGGTAGCGAAGAGAACGCACTGGGGTTGTCGGTGAGTCTGGAGGGGCCCGCACCGGGGAGCTAGGGACCCCCACACCTCGGCTCTGCTCCTCTTCCACCACACAAGGGGTCTGCAGGAGAGGGGAGTCCCATGAACGGGGGCCAACAGGGTGGCTGTGGGTCAAGTGCTTTTCCCAGGGTGAAGGAGATAGAGGGAGGTCGGCGCTGGTGATCCTGACATGGGGCGAGGCCTCGGAGGCAGGGCCAGCGGGCGTGTGGCCGGGGAGAGGGCACACAGGAGGAGAGGGAAGGGGGCCGTGGGCTGGGAACCAGGGTGGGAGCGGGGGAAGGCCACCCACGTCCTTCTCTCTGGCTGCAGTTACTTTGCCGATGTTGATCCGGAGTTTGTTCCGGTTGACATCCGTCTCCTCCCAGACTTCAGCCTCAGGACCCCCAGGGTGGGGGGCCAGGTGGGGGCTGGGACCCAGCCCCTCAGGGGGCCGCCCAGGCAAGATTGGGGGTGCGTTCTCCTGGTCACTCAGGTGCTCGCCCTGCAGCACGTCCTCGGTGTTCTCCCGGAGCAGGTCCCCGGGCACTGGCGTCACGTTGACCACCCTGGAGAGGCCGGGAGGGGCCGTGGGCAAGGCTGGCAGGGGTGCTCTCTCCTCCCAGCACAGGCCCTGCGGATCACTGCCACCCCTGGGGAGCGGGCACAGGGGAGGCCTCGGCAGGGGTCGGGGAGTCCCTGGGCCCATCACCATCCCCGGCTTACCAAGCCGGCAAGCGGGCCGTCCTCAGGCCGGCACAGGGCGGCAAGGACATGTGGCTGCCCAGCATGGGGGCCACGTCACCCTATCAGTTTAGGAGACCCATTACCTTCCCAGCCCTGCCAGATTTCCATTGCAGTTCACTGGCTGGCCTCCTTTAGACCAGGAATGGGTCTAAAGAGAAGAATCACTTAGGAGCTCCTTGAGTGGTATCTTTGCCAAACGGGGGCACCATGATGTGCCATCAGGCCCTGCGGAGTCTCTTTCCTGGCGCCCCTGCCCATGTCTCTCCCTGGCTCCTCCCCGGGGCAGGGTGCGGTGCCCCTCCTCACTCTGGCCCCTCCCTGGGTGCCTCTGTCTTTGTGCTGGTCACCCGGTTCTGATATCGCGGACACGTCCGTGGCAAACACCCCAGACCCGAGAGCACTCTGAGGGCAGGGGCTGCAAGTTTTTTCTCTGAGCCCCAAAGGCCCTGGACACAGGCTCAAGACATGTTCGCTAAAGGAATGTGCGTGAGCAACAGAAACAAACTGTGGGGCTCGGGTAATTTCACTCGGAGTTCCCCACTCCCCAGGAAGGTCAAAAACTCCAAATGAGGACGCCCACTCTGTCCCCACGTTGAAGGTGGAGATGTGGCAGAACTGCTTGGGGTTCGAGAACCCCACTGTTGAGCACCAAGAATAGGAAAGACAGCCAGGTGTGTCCAGGTAGGAAGAGGAGGAGAGGGCTTTCTGGGTGGCAGTTGTGGGTCACCTGGCCCCCCACTGGCCCATCGTCCCTCCCGAGACTCACCCAAACATGGCTGCCGTCTGCCGGGTGTTCTGCTGGGGTGGAGTGGAGGTGCTCGTGGACAGGAGGGCATCAGTGCCCGCCTTCTCCCAGTCAAAGGCCTCATTCTCAGCGATGCCCCGCTCCTTCATGCTGTTCTCAAACACCGACATGATCAACTGCAGGGGTGGGGGTGGCGGGAGGACACAGAGGTGACCCTGGGGCTAGCCAGGAGGAGGGGGCAGTTGCCAGGATTGCGGGGGGAAGAGAGGGACCTTCCAGGACAAGGATGGGCCGAGAGGGGGCACTGGAAGGAGAAGGGCACATTGATTTTAAATGAAAACATGCACATGATATGTAAATCAGCATGCAAATTACCGTCTTGGTTTGAGCCCCACTGGCTGGGCACCAGCCCTCTGAGATCTGTCCCCTGCTTACCCCCCAGCCTGCTCTGCCATCCCCACCATCTCGGGAAGCCTCAGCAGCCAGGGAGCTCCGGTAGTTTCCCAAAGCCACCACGTGGGGTCACGCTCCGCACAGGCAGCTGCTTCCAGCGGCACCGCCTAACCCACCAGTCCTCTCCTCTGCGAAGCCTTCCCGGATTCCCCCACCCCACGCACTCCCCGATCTGCCGCTCTGCGTTCCTAGCAGCCAGCACACTGTGTGCTCGCTTGCTTGCAGCTGTCTGGTCTGGGGAACACCAGGAGGAGAACTGGGGGGCAGGGCCTTCTATTGCCCAAGCGAGGCATCTCTGCCAACCATCAGGGCTCTAGGCTCAGGACATGGTGGGCACCTGTAGACCATCGGAGGCCCCCAGACCATTCCACTTCTGACTTAGCTCTCTCCAGAATGCAGGGCAGGGTCTCTCTGCTGGCAGGACCCGCTTTACTGACGCCCCCTGCGTGCCTGTTGCTGTGCTCCCTGGGGTGTGTAGACTTGTGCCTGGCACATGGTGGGTCCTGGGCAGAACACTGCTGATGTATCCCCCACTCCTGTCAGGGTCTAAGTGAGTCCCCTACGTGTGTGATGGTGGCACCTTGGAAAAAGCACTGGACTTGGGAGTCAGAAGATGTGCCTGAGCCCAGCCCTGCTCCCAGCCCTGCTGTCAGGCCTTAGTTTCCTCATCTGTGAAATGGGGACAATGCAGAGTTCTGGTGTAAAGTACTTGAAAGCACTTGGCTTCATTAATTGTTAAGTGTTAGAATAATCACATAAGGAACACACATTCTCACCAAAGGCTTGTTTTGAATTTTAAATGAGTTAATGCATGAAAAGCACCGAAAAGAGGGTAAGCTGTTGGTAACTCTTAGCCATGAATACCGTTTACAAGAGCACAAAACAGCGTCATGCAGTTGGAAGACTGGGGGAGATGCAGAGGGCTCAGCCGACAGGGGCGCGGGCTCTCAGCAGTATGGGTGCTGCTGGGGATGGTCACCCCCACAGAGATGTCCAGGGGTGCGGGGGCCAGGTGGCAGGCTCCCACCTGGTAATCGGGCTTGGTGAAGTAGTCGAGGCTGGCGATGTGGTCCAGGAAGAGGTGGAACTCAGAAGGCATGTGCTTCAGCAGCATCCGGTGCTCATACTTTTCCTTGATCATCCCTACCTGCTCCTGGAGGCAAGAGGGCACGGGGTGATGGGGCCCCCGTGCCCCCACGCCCCCTCCACCTCCTCAGACCTAGCTGCACGGGGCTCACCTTATCCTTGATCTTCCTCCAGGGCAGCTGGCCCACTGCAAACTCCACCAGCATGTAGAAGAGCGACCACAGGTCATCATGGCGGCCCATCTCCTGAGGGGAGGGGGGTGCGGCGGCGAGAGGAGTCACCCACAGCTCTCAGGTCTTTCCCTGGGACTGGGGGGGGCTGACCCTTCTTGAGGGGGATATCTCAGAGAGGCCTGACACCCAAATCCCCATGGGCGGAGCTGAGGTCTCCCTGAAACCACGGCTCTATCCCTGACCCTCCAAAATGCATAGAATCCCAGTGTCAAAACTTCTGTCCATGCTTCTGCACCCCACACAGACTAATGGTGTGACCAGAGAGGAGGGAATCCCCCAAAACAAGGACGAAGGTGAAGTCATGGGGAGATGGCAACAGAGCCTTCTTCCAGCCACGGTCTCTGGCATGGCAGCTCCCAGCCCCTGCCCCGTACTTGTCTCCCCACCTCGACGGCTGCCCGCCCTACCCTCTTCCTCAGCTGCACACTCTGCCCCTGCCCCTGGCCCTACTGCCGCCCCCGCTCCTCACACTCAGGCGCGGCTCTGCCACTCACCCGGTTCTTGTGGGCATTGACTGATGCATAACGAACAGTCCCTCGAAACCCGGCCACATTCCGGGGCTGCAAAAGGGAGAACACAGCAGGACCCTCACCCAACGCCCCTGGCTTCAGCCACATCTCCACCCGGCTTCCGGAGCCTAACTCTGCCTACTTTACCCCTGACTCCCTCCCCCTCCCCAAGCCTGCCACACCAGCCCCAGTCCTGCCCCTGCCTCCTGACCCTGATCACTGCCCCTGTGTCCATCCCTAACCCGGGTGGGCAGCCAGGTCACAGGGTGTGGATCACAGGGTGAGGCTATGGCATCTGCCCAGAGCCCCAGGAGCCGGGGGACGGGCTGAGTGTAGACCGGGCTGGGTGCGGTTATGCTGAACCCAGGCCGGGCCTGCTTAGGCAGCTGCAGGAAAACTGATGAAGGGTCCCCGGGTCGGGCAGGCAGCAGGGCGGCCAGGGACCCCTGCGCGTGGCGGTACTCACGGGCCGAACGTCCCCCGTGGTGTTGGTATACTGCCGGGCCAGCCCGAAGTCCAACATGTAGCACTTTCTGTAGGTGGAGGGCAGCCTGCCCATGGCGAAGTTGGACTGCGGAAGACGGGAGCTATGACCGTGGGGCTCCAACCCCACCCGGCCCACCTCAAGGGCCACCTTAAGTAAACACCACCGTGGACCGCAGGTTGTCGTATCCCATCTGAGAAGTAGGGGGGATCACCCTCATCTTAGAGATGAGGATACCGAAGGTCAAAGAGCTGATGTGGCTTCTCCAAGACCACACAGCAGGGGATGACCCAGCTGGGGGTTGAAATGAGGTGTGTGTCCAGCCCTCAATCCTTGGGACGCCCCGGTAGGGCCATGTGGCTTAGTGACACTATCCTGCTCTGAGGCAGCAGAAGACCCGTGTTGTTCTTGCTGTGTGACCTTGGGCCATTCAGCCAGTCTTTCTGGACCTCAGTTGTCAGCCCTTATTTAAAATGGAGGTCTTTAGGGCGCCTGGGTGGCTCAGTTGGTTGGGCGACTGCCTTCGGCTCAGGTCAGGATCCTGGAGTCCCAGGATCGAGTCCCGCATTGGGCTCCCTGCTCAGCGGGGAGTCTGCTTCTCCCTCTGACCCTCCCCCCTCTCATGTACTCTCATTCTCACTCTCTCAAATAAATAAATAAAATCTTTAAAAAATAAAATAAAATGGAGGTCTTTACAACACCGGATCCAAGATGCCACACCATCAGCTACTTGGAATTCCTTACCAAGCCCAGCCCCTCCGTCCCTTTCTCTAGAGATTCCTCTGTGTTTCCCCAACCCCTGCACCTTCCGAAGTTCAAGGACTAATCAGGGCAGGGGTGAGGGAGAAGAGAAGAACAGAGGAGAGATGTGGGCCAGGGGCAGGCTGGGGTGTGTGCTCTTGGCAGGCAGGGGAGAGGAGGAGAAGGGGCTTGGGGCCGAGAGCAGGAGGAAGGAGCAGGTAGAAGAGGCTTTTCCTGCCCCAACCACTGCTCTGGAGGAGAAACCATGGGACCCAGAGAGGGAGAGGTGGCTGGGGGGGGGGGGGGGGATGTGCTTTGGAGGAGGGGCCAGGTAGGGCAGCCCTCACCGGCTTGATGTCACGATGCAGGAAGCCCACAGAGTGGATGGCCTCAATGGACTCCAGGATCTGCTTGCCCAGCCGCAGCGTGGTGCTCAGCGTGAAGGTGCCTCGCGGCTGGCTGCGGCGCAGGTCGGCCAGGTTCCGGCCCTGGGGGTGGAGGTGGGGGCTGGCTAGGCTCGGCTGCCCTGCCCCCCTCCCCGCTGCACCACTGTGACACTCTGCCCAGCCTCATCCCCAAAGGTTTGTGCCCACTCCCCACTCCAGCGGTCACAACCCAAGCTTCTGGGGGAGAGTGGAGGGAGGACCCCACGGGACTCACCTGGAGCTGCATCACCACGTAATTAAACTTCTCATTCCGGCCACAGCCAATGAACCTGCACACGTGGCTTTTCCCTGTGGGGCACAGACAGGGGTCTCCCAGCTCCCACTCCTTCTTCCTCACTTCCCAATCCTCAGGTGTCTCCAGTGCGCTCTTGATTCCCGGTCCCATGACTCCTCACCCCACCTCCCCCTGCCCCTCTCCCCATCACCACCCTTTAGACTCTGGCCCCATCTCACCATGCCCATCAGCCCTCCCTTGGCCCCAGACTCCAGCTGGCACCTCTCCGCTCCCCTCCTCCTGCCCCTCTCCCCATCACCACCCTTTAGACGCTGGCCCCATCTCACCATGCCCATCAGCCCTCCCTTGGCCCCAGACTCCAGCTGGCACCTCTCCGCTCCCCTCCTCCTGCCCTTGACCAGCACCTTGAAGCTTTTTGAGCACAGCCACCTCCATCTTGAGGACCTGCTTGGGCTGCTGGGCTGACTCCACCTTGAGGGCCACGTTCTCCCTGGTCAGCAGGTCCATGGCCTCGTAGATCTCACCAAAGCCCCCGCCCCCGATCTTTTTCAGCTACGGAGATGGAAGAAGGGGATAGGAAACACGGGGATCAGGCTCAGCAGCTCCTCATCCCATCCGTTGCCGGCTCATCCCCTTTATTGGTGGCAGTAGGGCTAGCCTTGAAGGGGAGGACCCTGTGTCTGCCTCCCTTGCCCCACCCGCCATTGCCCCTTCCTCCTCTCCTAGTGCTGGAGACAGCTCAGCCCATGGATGTGCGCGCACGCGCGCTCACACACACACACACACACACACGGCTAGATGTCAGAGTGGGAGGTGGGAGAGGGTATGAGACCTCTGACTCCACATAGACATGGAGAAGAGCCTGTGTAGGGTTCTGAAGAGATCATGGGCCATCGTGAAACTTTTCTTCTCTGGAAGGACAAGAAATATCACCCTTCCCCTACCCTGCAACTAGACGGAACAACCACCATCCAGAAGGAAAACTATTTCCAGAACCTCCCTGCTTCAGGGTGGATCCTCCAGAGAAGCAGGCCCTTCCTCAGGTGGGCAGTCTCCTGACAGGTGTCATTAAAGGGAGAGAGTAATGGGGCGGGCGGGGGAGAGGGGAGTATTTGGGGAGGAGACTCAGCAAAGGAAGGGTATGCATTGTCCATGCCCATTGCTGAAGCTCACGGCACTCCCTAGACCCCTGGTCAGATGCCCCGAACCAGGGTGAGCCTCCTCTGGGGGCAGGGGGCACGCGGGACCCTGGTGGGAATGCAGGTTCGGAGAGTCCGGCTATTCCCGCCCCCCCCCAGGGGGTGAGGCAGTACAGACCTGACCCTCTAGGCCCTCCTCCTCCAGCATCCCATGGCAGGCAGTGAGAAAAGGCAGAGGGGAGAACTGAGTTGGAGGAAGGGTCAGCCAGGGGAGATGAGCAAAGCTGAGTGATGGGGAAGGATTAAAATCATTTCAAGTCAGAGGCACCGGGGTTCCTGGAGAGCCAATGTGCTGCTGGCAATGATGAGGGACAAGGGGAAGGTGCTGAGTTCTAAGCTGGGACTCAGTTGGTTAAAAAAAATGTAGAGCTCACCTCACGGGTGGCCTGCCTTCGCTGAACATCTTCCAGAACACTCACTTGCCTCCTGTTGGCCTGTTAACTCACCAGCAGAGCTGGGCTTGCTAGGGATTGGGCGGAGGCTGCTCAGATCAGCCGGCCTGTAAACTGACTCTGAGCGTCATGCATCTCCAAGCCCTCCCCTTAGCATTTATTCAGCACTCAGGTCCCATTAGTAGTTTAATGGTGGCTGAAGCACGGGGATGGAGCGGGGAAGGGGGCAGGGCAGAGCCCAGGACTGGGAGTTCCCAGCGGGTTGCCGTTGAAACCATTCCAAGAAAAGACAGAAGGATAAAGGGAAGATTTAGAAGAGGAGTGGACGTCTGGCTGCATCCCGAAGGCTCTTTTGCCCAGGAAGGAGACAAGGGAAAGAGAAAGGAGGAAGGATGGTCTGAAACCAGAGTCTCTCAGTACTTGAGACAAAAGTTAAGTCAGACTCCTAGAAGAATTCCATTTTTTAAAAAATGTTTTAAAGACTTATTTATTTGACCGAGAAAGAGGGAGAGAGCACAAGTAGGGGGAGCAGGAGAGGGAGAAGCAGGCCCCCCGCTGAGCAGGGAGCCCGCTCCGATCCCAGGACCCTGGGATCATGACCTGAGCTGAAGGCAGACGCTTAACCGCTAAACTGACTGAGCCATGCAGGCGCCCCTCCTGGAAGAATTTCAGAATCAGGAGGGGATAGACACAGACTCAAGGAAAGCAGCGGCATGTCTCCCTCTGGAGAACTTTAAACTCAGGAGAGATTCTAGTATCTTCTAGAATCCGTTATGGTTTGTTGTGTGCGAGCATGGGAGAAAGGGGGGAGGGGGAGGGAACAAGAACCACATCTTGGGTTATGTGCTCCAGGCTCTCAGCCATCATCTGAGCTCATCCCCTATGGTTCCTGACAACACAGGTGCAGAAGGTCATAAAAGTCACCATTTTGCACAGAAGGAAAACTAAGGCGCAGGGAGTGAAGTAGTCACAGGTCACACTTGCTAGTAAGCAGCAACGCCAGGTTTCATTTAAACCCAGGCGCTTAACTGCCATATCACAGCAACTGGTGACTGCACAGAGCTTAAAGCTGTGAGTGCTGAGATTCAAGCCCGAATCTGCCAGGCCCCCAAATCCTCACCCGAGGTGGTAAGGAGGGCTCGGGGCAGCCAAGACATTTCCCATACCCGCTGCCCAATTTCCAAGGGTGGTCAATGGTATGTCTTTGCCCTCTTCACTTCCAAACAGAGGCTGTTTCTCCTCCCTTAACCCCCACCTGTTCCACTCCCCCACCCATTGCCAAACCTCCCTGGGACAGCAAGTTGGGGTGTGCACCCACCCACTCACCTAACACCCCTCCTCCCCAGGCCCTACAGACCCCACTTATCCATCGGGCATAGCAGGCACTGTGGCCCATAATACTTTCAGGGCGCCATAAAAATGTTTCAATATTTTTAATTCAGAAGGAAAACAAATGATCTCTTAGGTCAAAACATTTTAATATATAATGTTAATTCATTCCTCTTTATACCAATGCAGTCATAAAATACAATTTTTAGTACTTTATTATAGAGACAGGGGTCCATGAAAGCAAAAGTGCCCAGGGCCCATGGAAGTCATAATGCAGCCCTGTCCACGCCAGGTAACCAGAATGTTCTCTCAATCTCCTTTTGCCCAACCCTATTCCTCCCCTCCTAATTTTTTTCAGGATGCCCTCCCCTGTCAAAGGAGGGCTACTGGAGGGCTAATATGACACAATAGGACAAGCTTTCACTTAGGAGAAGGGAAACCTAGTTTCTTGGCCCAGCTCTGGGTCACCTGGAGTGAGTTTCTTAAATTCTGTGCCTCCACTTTTCCTCCTCTGTCAAATGAAAGAGTTGCTCTAGAACTGGTCACAAAGACTCCTTCGTCTCTGTGCTCCTGATTCTTGGGTGGGCCAATTCTTGGGAAGCAGTACGGCTTAGTGACTGGCCCCCCAGCAGTCAGACAGACCTGGTTCCACCTGGCCATCATGAGAACGTGGCAGGTGAACCAGTCTCTGTACCTGTTTCCACACCTGTGAAAAGGGGGTAATAACATCTATTCCACTGTTTGCTGAGATAATGCATGTAAGACATTTTGCACAGTGTCCGGCAACACTAAGTGCTCAAAACTGAATGCTGTTTTTATTAGCAGTGGTATTGTTTGCTATTCTGATTCTGAGAAGCACTCCTCAAGAAGAGTCAAATGTTCTTATTTGTAAATACTCCACCTAGTGCCACCGCCCCTCCCTTTCTCCAGGCCGGCTCATTTTCTCTTTGGACAGCGTGTTCTTGGTTCCTGAGCTCTGCCTCATGTCTCTGTCCCCCGCCCCTCACGGGGAGTTGGCTGAGGGGAGGCATCTGGCACCCCACCCTTCCTGCTTCTCCAGGAGCCAGGGAGGGAGTGACGGTAAAGAGAGGTCAGTCTGGCAAAGATTGCACACTTGCCCCTTCCCCCAACACCCCCCCCCCCCCCCCCGCACCATGTCTCTCCCTACTCATCTCCCACCACCTCCCTCAAAAAGCAGCAGAAAGTTCTAACCCAAACTCAGTATGGTGTGAACACCATCTTTTTCTCACCTCTTCAGGGCAAAATTCTGCCTCCAATCTGTCAGAAACTAAGCTCTCATGTCAGGGGACCCAGAGGGTTTTTGGAGGAACACTCCTCATTTTGCCAGACCCTCATTCCTTTGATTACCGCCCTGGCTCCTCTTCCCCCCATTTCTGTCCTGTCACTCTCCCTCTCAGGAAGTCCCCTCCGGGACCTAGATGGCCCCTCCCCTTAGCTCTCTGGCCCTCCGGTGCCACCACCTCTCCCAGTCCCAGAGACATCTCAGACAACGCTACCACCTTTGCCCCTGTCCCTGGGCCTTTAGGGAACCTGCCAGAAGGGTAGTTGTTGCCGTGGAGACCAGCTGGCACCAAGGCCCCACTCTCCCCTTAACCCTGCAGCCCAGGTGAGCTGAGCCCCGCCTCCACCTCCCCCACACCTCCACACAGAGGCTCAGTGTAGGCCTGTGTTGTTCTCCCTCCTCTCCTCCAGGCTCTCCACTCAGCCGTGCAGACCCACAAGCTCACACACCATCATCCAGCAATCCACCCGACACCATCCTGCCCCCACAATAAGAGGACACCAGAGAGCTCTTAAGCGACGGAAGGAAAAGGGGGGGGGGGGATGGACAGGGATTGATTTACGATAGGTCCCGCTCCCCAGACACTGCCTTTCCCCCAACCCCTCACATGGTCCCCCTCCCATGCAGGCCCAAACCCCGAGGAGCCTCGGACTACAACTCCCAGCAGGCGGAACAACCCGAAGTCCTGGGCTGGAGGAGCAAGGCACGCTGGGACATGGAGTCTCGGCGTCTTGCACCTGCCGCAGGAACCAGTGAGGGGAGGAGGGTGGAAGAAGATGGAGTGCGCCTGCGGTGGGAGCGCCCGCAAGGCCTCTTTCCCCGAAGCCAGGCCTTTCTGTCCTCTGCGGAAGCGGAGGGACACGTGCTCGCTCCCTGCCCTTCTCCAAGGTCCGGCAACGAAAGAGCCCCCGCCCCCACCCCGCCCGCCTCCCCCACAGAGCTCTGCAGCCCCTGCTCAGGCTGGGCCCGAGCAACGTGCCCTGGCCGGGAAAGGGGTGAGCCACGGCGCTGGGAGAAAGCGATTGTCCACAAGTGAACGCCGGAACAGTGACGGCAAGCAGAACGCAGATGACCTCGGGGGCACCTCCCTCTTAGGGGAGAGGAGTTGGGGGCAACTGTTTTAACAGGTCTCCGGTCCTCTCCTCCCCTCCCCTCCCCTCCTCTCCCCGCCCCTCCCTTGGCCCCGCCGGGTCACTCACCACCTTCCAGCGGTCCTTGACCACGTAGTTGGCCGGCAGTATGTCGGCCTGCTCCCCTCCCCCACTCATGTTGGTTTCGTCCTTAAGAGCGGCCGCTAGGCACTGCATCCGCCAGCCGGAGGGAGGGGTGTCCGCAGGGCCTGCCCTGGGGGGGCCATCTACCTGGGGGAGTGGGGAGGGGCTGTGAGTGGGGCAGGCCACGCACCCGGGACCGGCTCGCAGATACGGAGGAGGGGAGCGCCATTCTCCTGGCAGGCATCCTTCCCGGCCCGCTGGGCAGATGCTCCAGGGGTTACTGGGGGAAGCACTGTGTAAACACCCAGGTGGAGGTCAGAAGAGAAGACAGAAATACTACCCACGGGAAGGGAGACACAGACTACAAACTGGGGATGTGAAACCCAACAACAGGACGCACATGTTGAAAAAAGGAGAGGAAAATGCCAAGCGAACAGGCTATGGGGACAGCATTTCCCAAAGAGAGAGATGCTAATGTGGAGGAGACTTGCTAACTGCCCCCAGGGAGGGGCATACAAATCTAGGACCCATGCTTGTGTAGGGGACACCTGGGCCAAGAAGGACCCGTCTGAGTGACTTGATCCGAGGCTCCCCCAACACCCACACATTCCTATGCAGAGGTGCCACCAAATGCCAATGGAGCTGTGCATCTGAAGCTTACTAAAAGGGGAGACCTGCCGACCAAGGGGTGACCCATGGGAGACCCACTCCAGAGTGATGCTAATCAACCGCGGGACTCGGGATAATCAAGAAAATGAGATACACAGCAGCCCCTGGGGGTGGTGCTAAGTGAGGATGATGCAGTGTGTGAGGGACACACCATTCTCAGGGGTGAGCCCAACTCACTGACAGCCGTGGGGTTCAGAAGCAAGGATGTGAGCCATGGGGTGAACATAAGGTGATGGCTCAGCACATGGATTTTAGAGGGACCGCAAACCTGCGGCCACTCCAAGGGAGAGAGACAGGCTGAACTGGGTGGTGGTTTGGGGGGGCGCGTCTTGGGGACAACAGGGAGTGGGATGGGTCTAACAGGAGGCAGGAGGAAGGTCGGGGTGGGCGTGTGCTGAGAGAGCTCCGACCACACCTTCTGTCTGCTCCAGAACAAGGAGAATGGCACTGGCATAGAGGTAGAAGTTGAATATCAAAGAGAGTGTCCTGAGCGTGAGGCTTGGGAAAGCCCGCCAGTGTTATCCAGGGAAATAAATGTGTGTGCACGTGTATGCGTCTGCGTGCGTACCCGCACGTGTGGCCTTCCGCGAGAATGTATATATGTCTTTGTGTGTCTTTGTGTGTGTGTCTGTGCCTGTCCATCCGTCTGCGTGTGCTTGTGCGTGTTATTGTGTCTGTCTGTGATGGGCATGTGTGTAGGCAGGGGGCCGTTTTTTGAGATTTCTGTCAAACCCATACAGGATTGGAACCAGGATCTTCTCTTCTCTTCTTTCCCCCTACACTTTGGATAAGAACACTGCTCTGCCCTCACAGGGACCCTGGACAGTCACAGCTGGAAGGCAGTTAGTTACTCCAGCTGGGGACGAGGTGGGGTGGAAGGGAGGTGGGGAGGAGGAAAGTGACTAAGGTATCTATGGATGGGGCCGAAACTCCATAAACCTGTTTTTCCTTGGGATGGGGATATTTCCCCCAGGCTCCTGTGTCTAGTCATCCTGATACAGGGGGCAGTGTGGGATAGTAAAGGCATAGAAACAACCTTTAACAGGTCATGGTGCGCCATGAGGGTCATGTGGAGAACAGGTCTTCATGCAGAGGGACACTGTCACTCTTGTCCTGTCTTTCTTCAAGTGACTCAGCTGACTCATTCCTCCAACCCACCCAACTTCAGAGCATCAGAACTGTGGGGATGCCGAATAGGCCGCTGCCCACCTTCTGTCAAAGTGCCATGTGGGGCATCAGGAATTCAGAGGGCAGTGAGAGCAATGGCAGGATAAAGGGAGAGGTAGGGGGTGGGGGATTCTGGAATAAAGGTGGAAACAAGTTGAGGACAAGACCGAAGAAGCCATTGAACCAGTAGGGAGAGAGCTTTGTGCAGTTGGTGACCTCTGGTGGGCTTTCCAGCCCTGTGATAGGGGATTCTATAGGTTGATGAGAAAAATGGGGATGCAGCAACCAGTTTCAAGATGGGCAAGCCTAGAAGGAACAGGTGGGGTGGGAAAAGGGAGAGTGGCAGCAGGAGGCTAAATGGGGGTTCCCTGCCTCTTCCTGTCCACCATCCTCACTCTCTGCCTCTGAGGACTGCACTCAGCTTAGACTAGGTTGGATGACAGGCCACAAGAAACTTGGCTGCCCCATTACTGCCCCCTCAGGACCCTTTGGGTATGTGGAGGCATGGGTGTGTCCTGTGAGGGGGCTTGTGGAAGAGGTTTTCATGAATATCTGTCAGACAGTGTAGGGCCAAGTGTGTGGGGGGGGTGGGCAGGGAGACAGGGAGGGAGACACAGCAAGGGAGGGACCTCATCATGGTGTGTGAGTTGAGGTGTTGATGTGTAACTATGCAAGGTGTGAGCCAGGTGTCTGTGGGAATCTGGGAGTGCAGATAAGGGGAGGTGAAGGAGCCCAGTGAGGGATAGTGGGAACAGGTGAAAAGAGATGTGGAAGGAGGCAGAGGGGAAGGGAAGGGATGGGGGGGTGACAGATCTGAGGAGGGGGTTGGGTAAGACAGAAGCAGGTGATGAGCGATCCTGATGGCAGGTGAGGAAGCGGCAGGTCCCCGGGAGGGGCTTCTGGGCACTGCTGAAGGGCTGAGGAAGTAGGTAAGGCAGCTAGCCGGCGGGACGGAGGGAGTGAGGACGACGGAGAGAGGTTATGGAGGCAGCTGGGAAGGACTTGTCAGGGTGACAGCAGGGTGAAGCCGTGGGCATGGGGGGGGTGGGCAGAGGCCGTGGGGGGCCGGTTGGCGAGGGCGGGTGTAGGGGGGGTGGGGGGCAGGGAGCCGTTCCAGGCCTCGGGATGCGGCCCAGGCTGTGTAGGCCAGCGGCGGGCGTCCCGGCTCGGGCGGACACGGCCCAGGGAGGGGGAGCTGGGGAAGGCTGCGCTGGGAGGCGAGCCGGGCCCGAGGCCCGCGGAGCCCGCAGGGGAGCCCCCGCCCCGACCCCGCCGGCCCGCCGCCGGCCCCGCCCCGCCTCACCTGCTCTGTGCCCGCTGCGGCTGCGGCTGCGGCGGCGGAGGCAGCGGCTCGGGGCGGCGCATCCCCCGGGGCCGGGGCGGGGCGGGGGCGGCTCAGTGCGGCGCGGAGCGGCCCGCTCCCTCCGACGGCGGCGGCGGCGGCGGCGGCGGCGGCGGCCTCCCGCCCGGGATCATCCCCGCCCGGCCCGGCCCGGCCCCGATCCTCCTCGGGCGACGGCGGAGGCAGCGGCGGAACGAGGAGCTGCCCACAATGCACTGCGCCGCCAGCATCAGCACCAGCCCTGACATCACCGCCCCACCGCCCGGCTCTTACATCACCGCCCTTTCTCTGACATCACATTCCACTCCGCTCCTCTCTCCACACCTGCAGCCTAGGTTCTCCTCCAGATGGCCCCGCTCCAGCTCTTCGTTTCTCCTCGCTGGTTTCTGCCATTCACTTGACCGCCACCCCCCACCCCGGCGGGGCCCCATCCCTCCTTACCTGTCCCCACAGACCTCATCTGTCTGGATCATCCCTTATCTTCTCTCCTCCCAGCACGTCCCTGTCACTCCTTGCCTGTCCCTATCAGCCTCAGATGATTGCCCCACTGCACCTTCCATGTGTTCATACTTTCTTCTAAACTCCTTTCCCCTCACCTGTACCATCCTTCCATAGTCCTGGTCCCCCATTTCTTCTCACACATCCCTCGCCAAGAACTCACCTCCCCACACGTATGCCTTACCTCCTGGCTCAACCCGTTCCTCTCTGTCTTTGGTCCCTCCTCCCATCTGTTGGCAAATTCTGTCATTCTGCTTACAAATAAGATGCACTCTTTTTATTTATTTATTTTTTTTTTTGAGATTTTATTTATTTGACAGAGAGAGACAGCAAGAGAGGAAACACAAGCAGGGGGAGTGGGAGAGGGAGAAGTAGACTCCCCGCTGAGCAGGGAGCCTGATGAGGGGCTCGATCCCAGGACCCTGGGATCATGACCTGAGCTGAAGGCAGACACTTAAAGACTGAGCCACCCAGGTGCCCCTATTTTTATTTTTATTTTTAAAGATTTTATTTATTTATTTGAGAGAGAGAGCACAGGAGCAGGGGGAGGGGCAGAGGGACAGGCAGACTCCCCACTGAGCAGGGAGCCAGGACATGGGGCTTGATCCTAGGACCTGGAGATCAGACCTGAGCCAAAGGTAGACACCTAACCAAGTGAGCTGCCCAGGCGCCCCAAGATGCACTCTTTTTAAAAAAGATTTTATTTATATATTTGAGAGAGCATGAGAGAGAGCAGAGAGCACAAGCGGGGGTGGGGATGGGGAGGACGGGCGGAGGGAGAGGGGGATGCAGACTCCCCGCTAAGCAGGGAGCCCTATGCGGAGCTCCATCCCAGGACCCTGGGATCATGACCTCAGCTGAAGGCAGACGCTTAACCGACTGAGCTACCGAGATGCACCAAGATGCACACTTTACTGATTTTATTTATTTGACAGAGAGAGACACAGCAAGAGATGGAACACAAGCGGGGGGAGTGGGAGAGGGAGAGGGAGAAGCAGGCTTCCCTGCCAAGCAGGGAGCCCGATGCGGGGCTTGATCCCAAGACCCTGAGATCATGACCTGAGCCTAAGGCAGACGCTTAACCCACTGAGCCACCCAGGCGCCCCAAGATGCACACTCTTTACTGTGACATTAAAAATTCTTCCCAACATGGTAATAATACCATATAGAGGCTATTACCACCCTTTTGACAAATTTGATTACTCAACATTCTCTGAACATACTTTGCACTTTGTCTCTCTCATCCTTTGTGCCTTCAACAAATGCATACTGAGGCCTCCATTAACAACGACAAGCAGCAACCATTTACTCTTGCCAGACACTGTTCTAACTTTACACATATTAACTCATTTAATCCTCATAACAACCCAGTACTAATGTTACACCCGTTTTATAGAGGAGGAAACGGAGATACAGAGAAGTTGAGTAATTTGCCTTAGGTTACACAGCTAGCAAGTGGCACA